GCACAGTGATGAATATCCACCAATGGTGGAAGCATGTGTGCAAAGGAGAAACAGAGGGGGGAACACAGATGGAAGTGTTCTGCGAACTCGGTCAGCCATTTTAATGATGTTCCTCTAAAATCATCAGTATGAAGTGGCACAGCCACTGTGGCACCTCGAGGACTGTTTTAACACTCCTCTTCTCCCCAGTGTAAGTTTTGATAAGATGATTGTACGAGTGGCCATCTGCCCCGTGTATGTGTCATCAGTCATGTGCCCTAAGTAACATAAGAGGAGCCTTAAGACACACAGAAACACACAACTTCTTTTGTGCTTCTATGAAAGAAATAAAAGAAATACCTCGGCTGTTTCTCTCAGTGCACAAAGATATGCTGCGTTGAGTCATATCTGTACATAATCCAGTGGATTATGCCTGTATATTCAACTGAAACAGATCTGCAAATCAGCCACATGAAACCCAGATGTGGGGGGTATATTCAAATCACAAAAGTTCCCCTGGTGATTCTAGTCCAGTGTAAATAGGACATGTTACTGAAGGGCTGAGTCATCGTAGCTTTCCTATGGAAAGTTTTCATGCCTACATCTAAGCATATGTTTTGATCTGTCAATTTGCATGATGAGAGACAGAACGTGAGTTGAAAGAAAAAAAGAGCACTCAGGAAAGAAGTCCGGATGGAGGCCTCGGCTTGTGAAAACCTTTCCACCTGAATGCGTGCAATTAAGCAAGTGTCATCTGTCCACACGCTTCTCACCAAAGCACAGCGAGGAATTAACAAGAATCTCCTCTCACCTCTCACTCCGCTCGTGCCTTGATTCCTCCTTTAAATGAGTTGCACAGAAGGTACATCTCGAGGACATCTCTGATCGCATTCGTTCAAGTTTTTTTAATAAAAAGGGAACACACACACACGCGCTCACATATAGTAACTGACAAAAGGTCAAGCCGATGAGTGTCTGCTTCAGTTTTGGCAGCATCCTACACCAACTGAACAAGTGTGACACCTTTGTTCAGTTGGAGAATTCAGGGTTGAATGCGCGTTTGGCCAAACCGCAACGGAAGAGTGTGTGTATGGGGAATAGAATGGAGCGCGCCTGTTAGACCACAACAGGACATCAGAAATTTGTTCAGTAACAGTAAAATCTACATGAGTTTAACCACACCTCTCCTTTGTGTGTGCGCTTTGTGTGTGTGTAAGATGGAAAAACACAGAGAGAACACTCTGATGGGGGGATGGATGGGGGGGAGTCTTGTCTGTCACATGTATCTCGAAGTACCCTAGCTAACCATGGAGCCAGATTGTAATCATTCATCTCTGACCTTAGCTATCCCCCCCAACCACACACACACACACACAACTCAGCAATAGCAACAAAAAAAAACCTTATTTATCTGAATCTGAGATCAGATATTGTTCTCCCTACATCGAGTTTAACGCAACAGCCAAAAAGACTCCCTGCTGGGCCGTGTTTAATTTTGGTACTTCCTCTAAACAGTTGACGCCAGCCTGCGCCGCACTTCGACTGCGCAAAATAGTAATAGAGGAGGAGAGTGGAAATGAACTCTGGTTATCATCTGTCTCTTTTGAATGCGTGCGCCCTAAAATCAGGTTGATCACGCTGCAGAATAGAACGATTTGAGTCACAGTTCTCGCTTCATTAGCTTAATTGGCTTGTGATTCTACTTTTGAAGTGCTAAAGGACTGGCCTGTGCCACTCATGATTAAAGTCATCCAGCATATAATTGACTGGACTCCAGCCATCTCCACAGGGTAGCAATACACAGATGTCTGAGTGACTGTCACCAAGATGAAGTCCGTGTCATCTTGACCAAAGTGTGTATTAATGTCTCTCCATTGCTCACTGTCTTTTTGATTCATCTGTACAGAAACAGTGATGTACTTCCTGCTGGGTTATTTACTAAAGTGTGTGTATGTGTGCTGGGAGGGTGTGTGTTATGTGTGTGTGAGATCTCATTCATCTGTCTCCACATGCACCCACTCGATCTCACAAAGGGCCAGCCATGAGAATGAGAGAGCGGGAAAACTGAAGAGGCAGCTGCCTCTTTGCTAATGTGAGACTGACATTGGAACTAAGAGGGTCCAATACAAAACACACATGTGCATCCATATACGCCTGGCTCGTGCAGAAGCAACGTTTCTCACAGAGCCTCAAGTCATACGGCGCCTATAGCGTGAAACATTGCATACAGCAAAACATACAGTGACACACAAAGTCTGCGCTAATATCAGGCATCACGCGTCGGCACACACATCAGCGGCAACAGTAACACAACACTATTTTTCTCGTTTTCTGTCAGGCGGCCTCATTTTCTCTCGCTGCTAGCGGTCGTTTACTCTTCAGATTGTTCAAATTGAGCTTTTGAGACTTTTCATTTCAAAACAACAAAAACCTCGCTCTCAAATTAAACAAAGATCAGCAGGGGAAATTGCCCAGGAAGACATCTGTGACTCATTTTCCCCTGGAGTATATGATTAGGAAATTCATTTATGTCTAACGTATAATTCCTGCCCGTCTTTCAAGTGGGAACGTCCACACAGTGCCCTGTGTTCTACCCCTAGGAAGAGGGAAGGAATGGAAGGGGGGAAAAGCAGTCTGTGGGATTGGGTTAGAAACAAAGACCATGTTGGTTGCAATAAGTCTCCACTTTCAATTTTTTAATGATGTTGCTAGGACTACCTTTCTTCTTTTTTTCTTTTTTTTTTTGAGGGAGAAACTGGTGCTGTATGCTTGACCTTCCACGCTTAGAGGAATCCAGGTCTAGTGACAAGAGAAAGGCACGACTTTTGTCTAGAAGAGCCTCAGAACTGTGTTTAACTACGATTTACCCAATCCCTCTGTGGTCTCGCTACCCAAAATTAGATGTTTCGGTAAGCTTCGCTGGCTGAAACGGGAACAATATAGCCTTCAGTGACGGTAGCAGAGTTTTAGGGTGAGGTGCTGTTGTGTGGGCACTAAAAACTGGTAATGAAGACGAAAACTGCACATCTGCTCTGCCAGCAGTGTGCACCGCTTCCATGAAGCACCATTTACAAGTCTTCTCTTCAGGACGGTGCGCTAATAAATTTCCTACCACAGGAAGTGAAGATGAGGCAGAAACACTGAAAGGGAGTACAAGGTGAAAATGGATTCCTGTAGTTCATAATTAGGTCACACCGTCACGGACAGCAGGAGTTTTGAGATTCATTAAACTTTTGACACAGGTTTAATAACATGTAAGTGCGCCTTCCTAGAAATACCAAAGGAGAACACTGGTGTATTAAATGTTTCTCTGCCTTTTTCCTGTGCTCTCTCTTAGGAAATGGATATGGGAACCACCGCAACTCGCCTGGTCTGCTGGTTTCTCCAGGTGGCATGAACAAGAACATGCAGACTAAGTCTCCCCCACCCATGAACCTGGGCATGAACAACCGCAAACCTGACCTACGTGTGCTCATCCCCCCTGGTGCCAAGAACAACATGCCGTCCATTGTGAGTAGCGGTTGCATCCCTCTCTCAACCTGCTTCCTTTCCTCATCCACTTTCCCTCCTGCATATCCTGCTACCTTTCTAGGGGTGGGGGGTGGGGGGGGGGGTATCCTGTCAGGTTTGGCTGTTATTGTTTATTTCCTTTCATGTCCTCTCTGCTGCTTTCATCCTATCGTATCAGACTTGGGTTGATGAGGTTATGCTTGTGATAAGTGTGACTTACGGTACACGTTTCTCTGATTAGTCTTGGCAGCTTGTTAAACCAAAGCCTTTCTTTAAAATGTACTTTTGGCCCAAGGCTGATATTCTGGCAGTTACGGTGTATCACTTCTGCTGTGTCTGTTTGTGTATGCTGATGCTTCTTCCAAAGGTCCCCCTTATTTCTTTTTCTTCCCTCCTATAAATGAGTGTGTTACGTTAGTAGAGTTACAATAGCTGTTAGCATCCTCTTTTCACATTAGCTCTGCTTCCGTTGGCTCAATTCCAATGCAGCTCCATCCCTAGATCCACGCCTAGCCACCACCACTTGTGTGTGCTCACCTACACTCACTAATTTGAATGTATTACCCTCCCCTTTCAATGCCATCAGTCTGAGGATGTCGATCTGCTATTGGTAAGTCAGACTGCAACTCAAAATCAGAGATTAAAAAAAAAAAAAGAACAACCCTGAAACAGTCGAAACATTCTGAAGCTGTCGAGTTTTCCAGTAAAGAAAAAAACCTCTAAGAAGCATAATGATCCTAGAGCGATGCAGTCCCCTGATACTAACCTCTTAATTTGAATCCAGTTTTGCTTTGACTAAAGGGCTTATTACTGCAAGAAAAGCCATCCTGACTGCAGAGAAACTTTCACCTTTATTGCTGCTGACTCTGCTGAAGGCCTCAGTGTCGCCTCATGCGATGTTTTATGAGGGCACATGGTGCCATCCAGTGGTGTGCCAGAGTAAAAGCAATCTGGCCTTTTTATTTGTGTGTGTGTGTGTGTGTGCGTGTGTGTATCCATTCCTCCCTTTCTTCCTCATATTTTTTTACCTGCATGGAGAATTGTGTGTTGCACATGTGCAACTCACAGGACTGCTCAGAGTGTAGAAATGAAAGGCAACAAAAGAGTACACTTTCATGTTGCATCAAACCTCCATGATTTTCTGACAAACCCTCCCCTCTGCCTCACTAAAGTGCCTTTCCTTTGCCTTTGCTACCCCGCGTTGCCGTGGAAACCGGCGGTGTTACTATAGCGACAGTAGGCCCTCGGAAAAAGGGTGGTAAATGATAGGGTTGGCAGGGTTCAGCCTTGCCGCATGTCAAGTGATTAATTTCTCCAGAAGTTGGCATCACATTCATTCTTTCAGCATCTGTTGAGTGAAAGAAAGAAATGAAAGAAGGAAAAAAAAACTTTCTCGGTTTATTACTTTTTTTGTTTGTTTTGTCTGGAAGTAGATTTTATGTTCTCAAGCCTCTCCCATCTTCCCCTTTTTTCTCTCTGTCTTCTCTTCCTCTGCCACAGAACCAGAGAATAAACAACTCTCAGTCTGCTCAGTCACTGGCCACCCCAGTGGTATCAGTAGCAACTCCTACTCTACCAGGACAAGGCATGGGCGGTTACCCATCTGCCATTTCTACTTCTTATGGTACCGGTACGTTGCCCAGTGTGTCTGTAAACATAGAGTTATTTTGTGCAGTGTGTATAGTTTTGCATTACACGCAAAATGACCCATCAAATCCAAATTTATTTTTAAACTCTGTATTGTGTATACCAAGCTTTTCTTTTCTGTGTGCAAATGGGTGTTATACAGCAATCTAACAGCAGAGGGTGATATTGTCCCACCCAGTGACTTGAACACGTTCATGTCACAGCAGGATTTACCAGAGCTCCAACTTTGTCTTTTTTTCCCTTCATTGAACAAACTATAATGTGAATCTTCCTCTTCTTTTTCATATGTGTTTGCACACAGAGTACTCCCTGAATAGCACAGACCTCTCCTCCCTGTCTGGCTTCAACAGTGGCAGCTCTCTACACCTTGGTTCAATGAGTGGGTGGCAACAGCAACACCTTCAGAACATGCAGCATTCAGCGCTGGGCCAGCTAGGGTGAGTGCACAGAGCTTACTCTGAGGTGTTGTTGGGAAGTGCATGAAGTAACACATGAATTACTCCCAGAGATTTTTTATTTTTTGAAATGCCACACTCATAAATCTACTTTACTGTTCTCAATCTTCACTTGCAATATCGAACACAAGTGACACCTCACTTTTTTTTTTCACGAGTGTGTATGTATGCATGCTGGCATGTGTGTATGTGTGCGTGTTACGAGCTGACTTTTAAAATCACTTTGTTTCTTGCTCTGTAACTCTGTAACCCCTTTGCGTTTCCTTTCCTTCCAACAGAAATTGTTCTAGCTCTCACTTATGTCAGGGTTCAAATCTGTCCCTGCCCTCTGCTCAAAGCCTCCACATCAAGTCCGAACCTGTTTCTCCTCCTAGAGATCGCACCAGCAGCACACCGGGGGGCTACGGTGGCGGGGTGCCACCTCCCCAGAACCCCTCGTCCCGCCAGGACTCGGGACGCTCCCCTGTTGATAGCCTGAGCAGTTGTAGCAGCTCCCATGAGGGCAGCGACCGCGATGAGCACAGGAATGAGTTCCACTCACCTCTGGGACTGGCCCGGCCCGCCCTGGATGAGCGTGAGAGCCCCTCCATCAAACGGGTACGCCTGTCAGAAGGATGGGCGACATGATTGCACTGTCCACTCCTCTGCAGTGCCCCAAGTTGCCCCGAGCTCCCGACAATGCAGCATTACGATGCCCCACAGTCAGCTCCCTCTTCTTCCTCCTCGCACTCGATCTCATGAGTCACTCACCGCCCAACCCCATGGCCTCTCTCCTTTTTTCTCTTTATTGAAGGAAAGCAAAGGGACAACCCTTTCCAAAAATCTGTTTGTAATTTCTTTTCCTTATTTTTTGTTCCTTGTTTTGATTTTGCTGAGTGTGCGTGTGTGTGCGTGTTATACATATTGACATTATATAAAGCAGTTGGGTGTTGTAATGGGGGCTTGGGAGGGTAGTTGTTGTTTGGGATGGGATCTGGGGGTATTTTTGTTGGGGAACTATGCATAAATTGTATTGTGGAAAAAAAAAAGAATCATGTATGCATATATCTTAACACGTGTAACACGTGTCTACAGATGTGCATATCAACAAATACAAAAAAAAAGGTCAGGTACTCTGTTTCATAAAATGTACTTACAATTTGCCCCAGTGCTATATCAGTGAATAGAGACAAAAAAACAACAAAAACAACAACAAAAACAAGATGAGCGTGATTGTGTCCAGTGAAAAACACCTTAGCACTTGAGTTGGACAAACAATACATGTGTACAGTATCAGTTTCATTGCTATAGACCTTCTCTGCAGTTTTACCTTGCAAAAATGTGTGTTAACATTAGATGATGTCATGTTGCAGGTTCAACGTATTTATGTAAATAGCGGGTCAAAGGGGTAAAAGGGCCTGGGGTCAAAAGTCGCCAGACATTACAAGATTTATTTACTCACTAAATGAAAAAGCTATTATGCAACATTTGAAGGATTGTACAGGTAAACGAGAAAACCCGATGCTAGATGTGTGGAACCCTTGATCGTTTTCGTGCTCCCCTTAAAGAACGGAGTGAGGACCACTCTTTGATCTAAGAGCTATGTCGGCGTAATCAAGAAAATCTCTGGATCTAGTATTAACTATTCAGTATTGATAAACAAAAAAAAGAGAAAAAAAACAATTGTACAATACACTTGCTTATATTTTCATATGAAAGGAATAAAATGCAAAGCATTTTTGTGGCTTTTTGTAGTTTCTATAAGCCAGAATGTGTTTTTTGATAGCTTTGCCAATAAGAGATGGATAGTTCACCCAGAGGGGAAATGACAGGGCTTCAAGCCCCAAGCCATGAAAAACAGACTGAGATCCAATGCTTTGCTGAACTGTTTAATCTTTGTAGAGGTTTGTTTTTAAACGTGTATTTCTTATTATATATAATAATGGTAATATTAAGAATCTTTTAAAAAAAAATCTGTGAAATTAACATGCTTGTGTATAGCTTTCTAATATATAAATATATATAATAATGATTTTTTTTGTTGGTTTCTTAGTGAAGTTTCTATGTGCTGTTGCACATGTTGTCTGGTTTGTTTCATTTTAACTCTGAACAGGGCTGTTTGGGCGGGGTGTTTAGACTAACCTTAAAAACCAGCTGGAAAGCATTGCCAGGGTTGAAGCCTGAATGCTGAAAAACCTCATTTCTAGTGGAAAATGTCACGAGGCTGAATCTGGAGACCACACAGAAATAAATGTTGACACGTAACGTACACGATTGTCACACTGATGAGGAAATATGACAAAGCCGGAGTCTCCGAATACATTTTTCTGCATCCGGATATTTCGTTAGGAGTCCAAATTATTATAATTTAATAATCGTAGTCATAAAACATAGATTTGACCTCATCGATTTTGAATACCACCTTCAATTTTCGACCCAGTCTACCTTGTGTTGGAGATGTCGCTCAGACGCAAACTGTAAAATCTTCCTTTGAATCGCATTAACGTAATGCGATTTATGCATCGTGATTAAGTACTCTTGTTTTCAAACCTAATTTAATTCTGTGTCGCTCCAGTCTCGAAAACAGGGTTCCACATCCTTTACCACACTGTCACAGACAGTTCAGCGTAAGACACAAAAAAGAACAAACTGATCATGCTGGTATGGGAGAAGCACAATTGTTTATTCTTGATGAATAGCTTTGATTTTCTCTTTTTTAAACAATGAGACTAGCCACATATCTCTCCGCCTCCCACACCCGTATCTGCTGTCACTTAAGTGTTATGCTATTTCTATGTGCATATTTCATGCAGGATCACTAGGTTGTTACTGTATACAGTCTGTGTAGTCAAATGGGGCAGAGCCTCTATAACAGTGTTTTTCTTCTTCTTCTTTTTTTTAAACTTCAATAGAAAAAAAAAAGGTTGGGAAAAAAATAAACATGATGTTTCAGGCAGCATAAGTGTGGAGAAACCAAAGCCAGTGGCATTTCTGTGTTGTAAAGTCAGCTTTTATTTTCACATTCATATATGGGGGTTTTGTTTTTTTTTTGTTCTTTTGGTTTTGCAAGCATTGAAACAAGATAATAAAAGATTCTGCTTAAATTCACAACTGTTTTCACATTTCACTTTCAGTTAGTTATTGTAGCTTTAGCCATCAAACTGCATTGTCCATAGGAATCGTATTAATTTACCTGCTTTCTTCTTCATTTGTCTCCCTGTGCAGCGTATCGAAAAAGGTTACATGGGGGAAAAAAACAAAAAGGAAAGGAAAAACGCATTTTCTATTTACAATTTGTTACTTAACTCGGAATCATTCAGGCCCGTGTGAAAGCTGTACTTGTTTTTCACTTCATCAATCAACATTACACACTGCTTGCTCGCTGAATAAAATAATGCCAACATGTCCTGACAGTTAATTAGAGTGCTATAGTTTTGACAGTATTTTTAACCAAAGACATGGAGAAAGCTTGTCTTTATATCTTTGATGTTGTTTTTTCTTCTTCTTCTTTCTACGTTTGTTCAATTTGAAGCCAATTTTTTTCTTCATCTGTTGATCAGTTGTTCTTTGTCATTACTATATCAGACTAAATGTTGGTACCTCAAAATTGACCCAAGCAGTACCTCAGCTGATTTTTTGATAAGTCACTTAACGTGCAAAGGGGAGACCATTCACCTGTACAGCCATGTGTAATAACAATTGCTTAAGGTCCCAACATTCACATGCTACGGGACTCTTTGTTGCTCCTCTGTGTTTGTGGTTTATTTAAGTTGTACTCAAAAGCTGAAATTAAAAAAAAAAGAGTAATATGTTAAAATACTTAAAAAGTCAGTCTGTAGTATCAATGTAGCTTGTATAAACCTGATGATGGGGGCGGACGTTTGTAACTAAGGTTTTTTGGAATGCAGGAGCGGCTTTCAGCGGCATAAGCTGGCCTTTGTCGCCACTTGAGACTAAGATGGTATTAAATTAAAATCACATCTCTGTAACTCAAGGGACTTGATTCAGCTGTATGTAGTGAAAACGTATGGGGATGAAATAAAAGTCTCCTCTGCAGGAGGGAAAGGCTATTTGTATTTTGCAGAGATTTCAGTAAAGTTACTGGCTTTCTTAGTTATCCTGATGTGACTTGGTGTGATTTCATTGTGTTTGACTTGTTTCTACATGCATCCCATACAGCGATTGCTTTCATACCATGCAGACTCAAAAAACATATCAACACAAAGAGCTTCCATGAGGAAATGAAGGGACATGGTGCCATAGCAACTTCACTTGCAGATAATTTGTCATCCACATTTTTTTTCAATAGATGCATTTTTATATTTATAATGACAAATAAATAATAATTGTAAAAAAGCAACAGCAACAACATTAATTTAATATTTTAAACAGTTTTTTAACAGTTGGCCTCACAATTACAGTTGCATCGTCTTTCTGAGTAGTAAATCAAACTACATTTAAACATGAGAGCACATGGATCCTAAACAATGCAATCACAGTCGTATGCTCCCACACGACATGAAAAAAGGGAAAGGTTTAGGCCTACTCCTGTCCTACTCGCTTTTTCTTCAATAAAAAAAAGTGGGAAAAAACCAAAACAACTCAGAAGTGTGAATCAAAGAGAGAGTGGACAGCTTATTCTATAAAATACATGACAGTCTTTATTTTTTTCAGCTTTTCTTAGAACAGTTATTTCGCAATGACTGACCCCCAAAATATAGCTTAACTTTATTGTAACAATTATTGGGTTGTGTTGTTATCAAAACGCAAAAAAGGAAGAAATTTTCCTGACTGTTCATGCATTTTTCTGCAGGCAGTACAGGTCTGTATAGCTTACCTGAAAGAATCACTTTTTTCGAATGGAAATGTAATAACATTAGTGAATACCCATACAGACAGGCACACACAGAGAGAGAGAAAAAACAAACGAATTACAGTTTTACAAAAATAAAAAATAAATCCATCGCGAGATTTCGAACATTTTGTAATGCCAAAGATAATCCTTTTGATAGCGTTTTTCTTTTCATTTTTTTTCTTCTATATAAATCTCTCTATTTTTTTTTTAGATATATATAATATATGTCTACCGTCTATATTTTCTTAAGGCCCCTTTTCTATCTTTTCTTGTTAGTCTGAAGTCATTGTTCCTTGAAGTTATCGCTTCTTAACGTTAGCGTTATTTATTTATTTACTTACTACATGCAGAAAAATTGTGAATCGATATGAATAAATATATTTTCCAGGAAGAGAAACGTTGCAGTGGGTTGCTGTGAACATAGGCCTGCCTGTAGGATGGTTTCAGAATTATCGAGAAACTAATTGCATTTAGGTTTCGTTTGCTTTTCTACCGTTGTGTAGTCTACAATTTGGCCGTCGTTTCTTTCGCTGAGAAATATGTTGTTTTTTTTCTTTAATAGGTAACAAGAAATGATACATAAACTTGTCACACGTCATCTATTAATTGCACGTATTTAAAGATGGCAAATCGAAGAAACAGATTCAACACGTTTTGGATATTGTTTTATTTCACAAGTAATTGCTACATCAGCAACATGTCTACATGCATCACTTTAAATATGCTTTAAACAATTATTCACGATCTAAAAGTAACGGAGTTACTCTTTTAAGATCATATATAACAATGAGGCTAATGCTCCGATGTATTCTACTGACTTCTTCACTTGTGCAGACTGGAGCAGGAGTGTGCAGATGCCGGCAAGTAACAGTTTTAATGTTTACAGCATCTTTATTGACACTGTTTCCTAAACGGTCTAAATGTTCACATTTTCTTTCGCCATTACATTAATACCAGACACACTGAAGTGATTTTGAAGAGTTTTCTACCAGTAACGTGTGAAAGAAGGTTTGTAAGGTCACTGCAGACCAAACATAATGAATTATCTATCAAAAATAATATACTGTGACAACAGGTTTCACAGTTTTCAAACTGATGCAATAAACCTGAATCTGCAAACGGGCTGCCACTTTTTTGATAAAAAAAAAACTTTTGGAATTGAAAAAGGGGGGAAAAAACGAATTGTAAAAAATCAGCGCCTTCAGGGTAAATAAATTTAAATAAATAAATTAAAATCAAGACAGCACTTGTACATTTACAGGGTGGGGAAAACAATATCTAAAATACATTCTTAGCTTAAAGCCCAGTTAGGGCTTCAGTTGCTGCTTTTGTAACATTAAAAGTGAAAGAGTTCTGAGGGCATGTGTGTTTCCAGCATCAGGCTTATTTTAAGATCATGAATGTACATTAAATTGCACGCATGACGTTGGATTGCGCAAGTTCAGTGTGGCGTTGGTAGGAACAGGTACTCGTTCAACCTTGTAGGCTGCACACTCGTTCACCGTGAGTACTCAAACTAGAAATCACCACTAGATGTCACCGTTTAGCTGTTTAGTCGATGCCCTCACAACCTGGATCTTCCTCGCCGTCTTTCTCCAAAAGAAGCTGTAGACCAGACCCTGAATGGTCCCGTGTACTCCACCAGCTGCTTCATCCATTTTTCTTTGAGGTAAGTGTAAATACATAATACACTATTTATTATCATTTAATTCTAACAATTACTGCTTAATATCCGATTGTGAAAACAATGATAATGTGTACTCTGTTGCAAAGAAAAGAAAAAAAAAACCAACAACTGTGACATAATAATAATAATAATAATAATAATAATAATAATAATAATAATAATAATAATAATAATACAGTTTTTCTTATTACTATAAGAGAAAAAAAGTTTTTATTTTTGAACACAGCTGCAAGAGAGACCTCGCACTTTTACAGTTTCAGGTATTCAGTTTAAAAAAAGCTTGGCTGGTTCTTTACCTTGGAGGTGTTTCATTACGCCAGTTTCTGAATACCGTTTTCATGTGCCAGACAAAGCGCCCCGGGTCCTCTTACAAACTGCATCGTAGGTTGACGTCTACCCTGGCCTCAAATTGGAAAATAGGCAATATTTTTTATTTTATTTTGTTTATTTATTTATTTTTGTCTTTTCGAAGATCAGTTAATGTTATCTGATCCAAACTGGTTTCGCTCATTGATTTGCTCCCTTTTAAACGAGGATTAAATTCAGCATGTTGAGAACCGAATCACTGCTTCATCTCTGAATAATATTTTTTTATTCCTAAAAACGACATGCCTTTCGATTTTCTGTGCCCCTACTTGAAATCACATTGTCTCATTTGCTGGGGATCTGTTGTCCTGATAAGACCCGAGATCAAGGCTGTATTATCCACGCAAACAAGTGATTTTACCATGAGGAACAGTGGGAATCCACCATGAAGGTGTCTCTTCTATATACAATTCAAATGAGGATGACGGAACAGCGAATTGATCTCCTCCCCAGCTCCGATTACAGAACTGGAAAGTGTAAATGTAAGTTCGTGCCCAGAAACGTAGTGGTCTCCCAATTAAAACGTATAACATCATAAGCTCTTTCTTTTGCTCTGTCGAATTGCGCAGATCCATTTCTTTTTTTCTTTTTCCGTTTTGGTTACACTAAAAGGATAACAAGTAAAATAATAAAAGGTTACATTTGTTTAAAAAAAGAGAAAGCCTCCTTTCCAGACCCTTTACTATAAAAACCTTTCTTCACATCGTCATCATTAAATCACAAAATAACTATTACCGCAAGAATCGTTCATTTTGTTCAGGCTATAGCACCAGAGTGAACACTAAACATTCTTAAAATTGACAACTAATCAATATGCTCAGTTATTTATCATTTCCAACGATAAAGGCCTACGCGTTACATTTTGTTTTTTGGTGATGGTGATGAATACGTGTGTGATGCAACAAAGGATGATGAATGGATTCCCAAATATTCTAATATTTTTTATAACAAGTAATGTTAGGCTGCTTTCTAGTTAGAAGCCACGCATAGGTGTGGTGACGGACTCTTGTGGCTTTGAATATCTTTACGTGAGCCAGCCTGACCATTGGTGTTGAGTCACGAGCAATTTAAGAATAAGGTTCAATGACAAGGGGAGTAGCCATAGGGGCTGCATCTGCTGTGGCTGCTAGAAGAAAGTTTGACCTCCCGGAAAACGTCCTAGCAACTTGATCGAAAAGTGACCTATAACCAAACACAAATTAACAGCAGCAGCAGCAACAGCAGCGCTGGATTATGATAACTTGGAGGTAAGTGGTCAGATTTTTCATTTAAGACCCGTGCGGAAACACAATGAATCATAAAAAGAGGGAAGGAGAGGAGAAAAAAGGTGAAAGCTGCCATGTTTTAACGCATTTCTACTTGGTTTCATATAAACATGTGATCATGTTTGTGGATATTTTTCTCCAAGAGCACTTGCATTCGCGCTCTCGTCCCTGGCGTCAGCTCTGTGCGCGTGCACGGACACTAAGGAGACAGGCTGAGCAATTGCAACCTAAATGTCAGCGCTGCGTCACTGTTTTTTTTTCCTCACAAACGGGACAGCAGACTTTTTAGTTATTACTTTTCGACACTGTCAGTTTCTTGCTCTGAGACAGTCGTATCAGTATCACCTCTAAGCTATCACCTATGCTGAGTGCCCATTGTTTGCCCACCAGAGAGCTCTTTGTTCATGCATGGTGCATTTACGTATTCAAAAGACATCGCCGATTTACATTAAGATCCAGTGTTTTATTTAATTCTTAAGCACACAGTGACGTCGCTATCTTCGCTGTCGGCTTAATATAAGCCAGCATTAGTCAAATAATTTGATTACTGCATTTGAAAAATAAAGGAAATCATCGCTACGAAGGTGCACAGCAGCTCTGCACAGATCTAAACGGTCAAAACATGAGGAAATGCGTCGCAATAAACAGCAAGCAAGAAGTGTGTAATGCAAATCTACCCTCTGAATATGCATCAATATTAAAAATAATACGCACACCAGAGCCAACGGCGTCGGAGAATTGAGAATGGCGGAGCGGGTCGTCTCATTACGCATGGGCGGTTTTCCACGCAGGAGCCTGGGTTCTCCTTCTCTTCATGTTTCCCTTTAATTCTGTCCTGCTCACATTAGGGAAGCTTCTTTGGAAGACAAAACAAAGCTATGTTGGCTTTCAATACGGCAACGCACCAAGAACAGGCTGAGGGGAAATACTCCGACTGCGGCCGGGCGGACTATGTAGTAAGAGGGATTTGCATATTTTGATGCGCTAATTGCCTTGATGTATTTAAATATGGCTGCACGTAGCTGATATGCTTGTCTACGTCATTGAACGTGCCCTCGCTGTTAAACTAAAACGTGAATCCGGTTGAATCTAATGGATACGCCTGCAATTAGGCAAGGGATGGGGCTGGGGTAAGGGGGGTAAATGAGAGAGGATGCTTGGAGCCCCCCCCCCCCCAAACCTTTTTTTCCTTTTTTTTTTTTTTTTTTTTGCATTTTCCGTGTTTCGGTCACATGATGATTTGCTAAAAGAAATGAAAAATAGGCTACGTGGAAATTGTGGCCGGTGGAAATAACAGAGCGGGAAGCCCGAGGCGTTTGCCTGGAAGAAATGGTGTTCTGGCAGGAGGAAAGCCTTTTAACTAGTTTTACTGGGAAATATCGAACAGTATAATATATCCCCCCCACCCACCCCCAAAAAAGAAAAAGAAAAAAGTACGTCTTCACCGAGAGAATTATATAAAGACACTGGCTACTTGTAGGTTACTGACAAGTGGGTCACTTCATTCTAACTTTTTTTTTGTGGTGTAAAAAATCTCTCATCTTTCTTTTCTTTTCACTCTCTCTCCAAGCTGTGTATACGTGCGGACGTGTGTGTGTGTGTGTGTGTGTGTCCAATTTGGGAGGGGCGGTGTGTGTGTTATGAGATTAGCCTACCTCTTATTAGGCAACTGGGACCAAGGTGGATTTATAAGTCTTAGTATGGGCCTGTGCTGTACACCGAGATTGAATCAAAAGATTCTGAGTGAAGTTTAAAAGTGTGTTTCTCCCCTTTCTTTTCATTATTGACCCCATTCTAGACTTAGTTTGGGAATTGCATGTAGCAAATCATTTCCCCTCTGTCTGGAAACCGGTAAATGCGTTCCGTTTGTCAAAGCGTGTTAGCGAAGCGCCTGCAGCAAATTCATTACCACCCAACTGCGAGGCTCACTTCGCAACCTGGTCAGGCAAGAGGAGGGAGTTGTCCACGCCAAACCGCGAACAATGCTGCCTTAGTTCGTGCGTGCAACAAAAGAACCGAGGGAACTTGTTTGAATTTCAGAGCACGTCCTCTGCTCACACAGAAGGATGGACTTTACCCCCCCCCCC